CGTTGCCAGTGCGTGGCACGGCTTGAGATTCGAAAACGATCGTAAATTGTTACCATTCTCGATTTCCCCAAGGGTGACTTGAGTCATCCGTCGGTTCTGTTTGTTCACCTCCTGAAATACTCCATGCCTCTTGGAGACGTGAACGTGTCCCGGTGTTGCACGTGGCTGTGACTCCTCAGCGCGGTCTGTTAATTACAGCCCACGTTGACGGCCCCTGTGGTGAGTAATGACTGAATAAAGCAACTGATCCCTATTTTTATGACGCACACAAAGCACATTATGTGGCATTCCTCTGCCGTCAGACACGGGTAAGCGCACAGTGGACCAGTTCAAGGTTGGGTTGTGTTGTGTTCATTAAAAGCAAAGCTGAGGCCTAATTACGGTTCCCAGTGACTGCCTAAAAGGGTTGTTTCATTGCTCCACAAAGCTATTGATCTTGGCCCATTAACAACACTAAATAGTTGGTGCACTTGGAGGCTGTGTCAGAAAACAGGCCGGAACAGCAGGGGTGGGGGGGGTGGGATGTTCAAAATGCTCTGATAAAGACAAGCCCTTTTATTTTCCTCCATGTTTTTCTTCAGCGAGATGCACAAAAACCATTTCGGGTGGATTGGGTCGGCAGGATTTGTGCGGCTTGGGGCAGTTTGAGGAAAAATGAGCACCATTGTCGGCTCAAAATATCACAAGAGAGAGAAAGATGTGCCCAGCTTGTGTTTTATTATAGGTTTACAGAAATAGATACATTCTGTATTGCTGTGTCTACTTTTTTCCCACTTATTTATTGTTTAATTTCTGGTTTAAACTGACCAAAATCATCCTCTGCGCTTTAAGCTAACTACTTTAGTAAAAATTTGGGAGCTGAACTCAACTATGACCTCTCTATGCAGAATTTGTTGCCCGTTATATGTGATGAAATTGGCCGAGGCTGCGTCGAATATGTGTCCAAGAGAAAAAATAAAAAGATAAAAAGAACAGAAAACAATAACCCAGAAAAAATGTCAATGTTAAATAAGTATATAGTGACTTGAAATGTACCCATTTAACTTTCAGTCAAGTCTGACTAAAAACAAATTATCAAAAAAAAAAAAAAGAAGAAAGAGCTAACACATTCCAGGTGGCGGCAAGCATGATTCATGACTCAATATGTTCCCTCGAAGGCTGAATGTACATACTTGGCAATTTTGCATAATTGGAGCCTCAAAACGCAGACACGGCCGGGAAAACCATCTGTTTCACGTTGTTGATTGTGGACATTGAGTCCGCAAAAGGTGAAAATTGAATGATCCAAACTTAAAATATCAGCATTTTTTCGATCCACAGATTGACACACATTCACGCATGTTCACACGTGGCATGCGCTATTACTACAGCACGCATTCCCATCCCACACCCTCCAACTGCTAGGTCTGAAGTTTGATCCCGCAGTCTGTCGGGATTCCAGTTACTTAGCAACAAATCTCATCCTCCTGTCAGCAGCCAACTGTCAAAAGAGTCTCATCAAGTTGACTTTTCTTGAAAGTGGCCAAATGAACTCAAAGTACTGAGATGAACATGCGAGCAGAAGCCAAAGACTTAACTTTCGCTGGGGGGCACAGGTGCCTTCAAACGTTTACAAAAGGAGCAGTCAAGAGTCCATAATTATACAGACCCTCTGTTGAATTATAATTGCGTCTCATTCGAGTATAAAATTAACACAAAAGCAGTCTGCCAGGGGCCATTAGAGGTGATGTTAGACTGGGGATTCTAGTGTGACTTGTTGATGGTAAAATTGCGAGAAATTGTGCCCATTATCTGGGTACCGTCAGAGAGAGTCCAATTGGACTCAGATTTCCAGGTCAAATCAATTAACCTGAGTTATATGTCAGCACAAAGTGCCTTTCTGGAGGCAAGCGCGCCCTTCAGTCCAGAGAGAAAAAGCCACGACTGAGCTTTTCGGACAAGATGATGTTGGATATTCTTTTTTTTTTTTTTTGCGAATGTCTCCTGTTGATATGCTTTTAAAACGTTAACTTTCGACACGCACGTGTTTGTGCTCGCGTGTGTGCGAACGTGTCAGCCTCCTGTGCACTCTGACGCTTAGCAACATGCACGGCAGCATACGGAGCGTGGGAGGGGGACAGGCAGAGTGAGAACCAGGGCCAGACCGGTCTTGGTGGGAGGTGGCGGTGCATGTCGAGGGTTTTGGACTCGGGTCTGATTTGGCTGATACTTCAGATCTGACGGCGTTCTGATCGAAACCAATATTTTACTGAAGATGCTGCCTCTTCTGTTCAGCGGCCGCGTGTTTATGTGTATTGATCGTGAAAACAAACATGGCTACGACCACGCAACGGGTGGCCCAACTTATTCTTGCACCCCCGCAAGAGTGATCGGAACTCCGCTGGAACTAAAGGGATGGAGACTGAGGAGCTGTGCAGCCGATGGAGAATACAAATCAGTGAGGCTAACTGGAGCAATGGAAGAGAGCCATGTGGTCTGATTAGTCCAGAATTGACCCTGTTCCAGAGTGATGGGGCATCAGGGTAAGAAGAGAGACAGATGAAGCGAGGCATCCATCATGATCTATGATCCGAGGTTGCCGCAGTGCTCCTGGTTGAGGTTCAGCAACATTATCCCATCATTGGACCCATTCCCCCCAAAAATGACAATTCCATTATTTGCGGGGCCCAAACTGGCAAAGAGTGGCACACATGGATTGGCTGGTTTTTGTTTGCTATCATCTTATAAAAAAAGGGGTCAATTTTGCTCACAGAGAAGCTTCTGATGTCCTGAAGAAATGAGTAAAAATGTCAAGTATCAAGCGCCAAGGATAATAAATATGAATGAAAAATCCCATATAAATAATACAAAGTAGAGTGTATTAACTTTACTTTGACAGGCAGAAAATAAAAATACCTCAAGTGAGTATCTTGATACTTGGTGAAGTGGACTTGAAGGGAAAAAAAGACTGTATCCCTGTTGTCATTGGTGTCTGACTGATCTGTGTGTGTCTCGTTTAAAATCGATTCATGTTGATTTAGCCCTTTTCCGGTGATTATTCTTCACCCAGTCCATAAAAACCTGTCAAAGTATCCACTGTCTCCCTTCCTCCCTCTCACCTACTGCAAGACACTGTTTAAAAAAAAAAAAAAATTCTCATCTTTGTAAGATTTTCCAAATTCTATTACTCTGTAGCCTCTTTTTACATCACAGATTTCCTCTTTCATTCCTCCCTGCGCCCCCTTTAGTGGAGCCTTTAGAGCTAATTAGCACCCAGACTCAGACCTGTTAAAACTCTCACCTTCTGCCAAGGGGGCGGAGGAGGTGGAGGAGGTTGCATACAAAGTGGAGGAGGCCCTGCATGCTGCCAGCCTGTAAGAAAAGCCCCATGTGATAAAGAGAAACGAAGAAAATGGGAATGAATATTATTGCAGTGATGAGCATATTGTGTTGAATTGGGCGCATTACGGTGTTCTTGGTTATGATGACCACTGTAACTTTTTTATAATTCAATCACTTATCAACAAAAACACACAAAAAAAGACTATGAACAAACAGATTTTACATTGTAAAACATGAATATGTGTTAATGGAGACTGAAATATGTCTTTATTGGATTGGACTAGTTGACCTTCCAATCCCAGGGTGCAACAGCCCACAAACAAGATGATGGACAATATAAAAAGAACAACAAAAACACATGTTCTTTCTCCTCTTTTTGACATTTTCTCTCGAATGATGAGTAATGAGGCAGAAAAAGGTGGAGATGGGGCTTCCAGCAAGGCATCAGCACTGATGCGGGTTTGAGCGACCACCAGCGGAGGGAGCCGTTTAGCTCCGAGGGGCCACCTGTCAGAGGGCAGGGTTCAATGAAGGAGGCGGCAGCTCCTGGTTTTTTCAAGCTCCCCTTAACGCATAAGAGGAAATCACAGCTCCACGGCGGCAGCGAGAGCCTCATAAAGCAGCCCTGCCCTCCCCCGGTGGCGCGTTACAGTCGGAGGCCGAATGCGTCGGGATCACGTGCGCTCTTCTTGTCAAGTCTGTCTGCGCGTTCTCTGATGAGTCTTTGAAATGTGTCAAAAAGCGCAGCTGTCTCCCATCTCTCCATCTAGGGCCTCTTTTCTAAATATTTGACAGAGAGTTGATAATGCTGCCCTCAGTCAGCTTGTCTGCAAATTAATCTCGCTTGTCTCGCTGCACGAATAAAGACGGAAAATTTGAGAATTTGGTGGGTCGGTGTGGCAAAAGATCATCAAAAATATGGCCATGTCTTACTTTTATAGATTTTCTTCTTATATATATATATATATTAACCATTTTAGTTGCTTTTTTTGCTTCTGTTGATCTGTTTTGTTTTTGACTCTCTCCAAATCTGTCAATTTGACCTGATCTAACAAGTCCTGGAAAAAAAAAGAAAAAAAAAGAAAAAGGAATTCCTGGATGATTTTCATTCATTCAATTTTACAATGAGTAAACTCAGACTGTCGGACTTCTTGCTGAAAATGGGGAAAGTCAGCACTTTTAAAGTAGCTCCTTTTTCGATCTCTATTGACTGGTTGCTGTAGGTATGTTTTCAGAAGGAAGACACTGTGACACAAACCTGGTCAATGATGCAGGATAAAGGGCACTTAAGGGCCACAGTAGGTTGTTGGACATGATAAACAGAGCCAGAAAGTCTTGACAAGCCTTACAGAAACCATATAAAGAAAGCATTACCTCAAAACACATATGAGAGCCATACAATGCTTATTCACGACGTTCAGATCACAGAAAGGGTCAGAATTGATATCTAAATGTAGAAGACCCAATGCTGTCTATACTGGACGTAAACAAACATGGCATTGTGCCTCTCCAAATTTCTCTAGTGTGTTTTCTATTTTCGGGATATGGGACCTCTCTCAACCTTGATTGGTTGGCTGCAAAAGAACTCCTGCAGCCACTTACTTCACAGTTTAACTCGTGGCACCATGAAAGAACCAGTCATCTGAAAAACGTCCACTGTCATGACTGTCTGTGTCGCAATGCCCAAGCGCCCCACACCCATCGCTGGCACCTCCGTCAGCGCACACTGACTTAACCACCTCGCTGGCAGGAGGATGAAGGCTGATCAGATGACACGCCGTTATTAATAGCCACCCTTCTCCCCTTTCTCATTGTAATTTGATAGCACACACGATCTCACACTTAAGTCTCACAGTCTTGTTTTTTTTCTTTTTCCCCATGTAAGATTCAATTATACTCCGCGAGCATTCCTCCCTCCACTGCGAAAAATGAAAAATAGGACATGGCAGAGCTGTCGTCCACTGTATACCCTAAAGTGCTTATGGCAGCATTTCCAATTTATTTCGGTGTTAAGGGTGCATGCAGCAACAGGCTCTTGCAAAATGACATCAGAGAAATCTTCTTCTCCAGAAATCTTTTTTGAAAAAGAAAATTAACACAACAGTTCTTAAGAGTATATCCATTGTTTTCCACAACATGAGAGACATACATTTTGGTGTATTTGCAGGTTTGTTGTTTGTTTGTGGCTGTCATCAGGACCCACCAACCAGCATTTGAAACTGGCTTGCTTTGCTAAGTTGATGACAAGAAGTGCAAAACCTTCTCACAAAAAATGTATCATTTTTCTCTAAAATTCCATATCAATGTCACATGATGAAAAAATGATTGGCGCATGACCAAGCATACCCGTTTAACACAAATACCTGAACTGTGCATTTACTACTTTTGTGCCACAGAGAAATCAGGTAATACTTTGGAAATCCCTTTAATAGGGGATTTAGACATCAGATATCATGACTGGATTTGCTTTGGACGGGACTCAGGACAAACAAGAGTTTGACTCTGTGCCTCAGCTTCTCTTCATCTGTCAGCGCACCTTCCCTCTGATCTTCTGTGTGGACCAGGCTGTTGTCTTGCAGAGGCCTTATTTTTAGCAAGAGTGCGTTTCTCCTGCAAAACTTGATATGGGAATGGCATTTTCTGCCTGCTCTGGTCATCCATCATCCATCCATACCGTCAGTTCTTTAAGACACTGAGAAAGTATCGGCAGCAATCCAAACTCCCAACACAACCAGTATCCCTCTTCACAGCCACGATTTCAAACAGGTGGCCGCACCACGCCTCCCTCCATGCTATTTTCTTTTTTTCTCAACCACCGCTCGGGACTACCCCCGCACCCCCACCACTTTCATTCCTACAATTCTGGCATCTCCGTGGCCTGTAAAAGAGTGTGGTCCCTAATAGAGTTCCAACCCCACAGGGGTACCACCCCTTTCCTTTGGCCCTGTGGCGTCAGCAGAAACACGTGAATCTCTTTTTAAAGCCGGGGTGTCATTGTCAGACCTGCTCTTCTCTTGCTGGTGGGGATAGGAAGTGGACCAACTGTCCCGAAGTCTCCCTGCTCCACATCCACTTTCGTCAGGGGGCAAACGACGAACCTGTTGATCGCATTTCAGTCCTCTTCTTCCCCACCATCAACAGGCTTTGGGAAGGGGTGCTCGCTTCAGCTGCCAGGCGACGGTCACCATGAAGTGGGGTTGGGTGTTTCTGGGGGTTTTCCTCTCTTTGGCGACCCTGTCATGGGGGGACAAGGGCTTGGAGATCCCAGAGTATGATGGCAGAGACCGCGTTCACGCCCTGACAACCAAGAACTACAAATCCATCATGAAGAAGTACGACGTGATGGTTATCTACTACCACAAAAATGTGGACGGGAACCGCAGTGCCATGAAGCAGTTTCAGATAGAGGAACTGGCTTTGGAGGTGGGTCTTGACAAAAGCATGAAAGTAGATCTATCTGAAAAGCTATTTCAGGGTTTGAAGGGTTAAGATTAAAGGTGGGGAATTTGGAATCTGGAGAATTTTTTGTAATATTTGGTTGCATTTCGCGTTGGTGTGGATTAATTATTGAGGGTGTAGTGAATGATTATAGGGCAGGCCTTTATTTGGATGGATACTGCTAAAAAAGGCACAGAATTGAAACAATGGGGGCAGAAACGTGGTGGGATGAGTTTAGGAGATGGAGCAACAAACCAAAAATCGCCAGAGTAAAAAAGATCAGAATTTCCAACCTTCTGAAACTGATTGTGGCCAATTCAGGAAGTTATTAGCAGGTTGTGTATAAGCAAATGCGTGCGTACTTTAAATTTCTATCATCTTTTTTTATTTTTTTACAATAAATCCCTACCTGAGAAAACTCAACCGAGAAAAATACTTGAACCTAGATTTATTCGGTTTTGTGATTTTTCGTACATCCTTAATAAGAGCTTGTTTATCATTTGATGAAAATAAGTTGCAAAAGACTTTTTGAAAAAGATCCAAACAGCCAGATAAACGAAGATCATGTCTTTGGGTAAAGATTTATGGAACGATTCATTCATTCTCACGGTCATGTGTATGTAAGGTGAAAATAAATTTAAGTTCTGAATTTCCTTGAAATGCCAGAAATATCTGAAATATTTTAAATTCTTGAGGGGACAGCCTACAACTTTCCTCTGCTGACAATGACCAAATCAATTAAACAATTCATTTTTAATTAATTTGCTATAAACATATGTGGTGATGTAGACAAATTGGACCCTGCAGCTTTGAACATTTCTTATAAATAGAATTATGTTGTTTTTTCTTTACAAATGACTCAAAGGCTTTACTGTGTTTTGTTGAAAGGCTTCGTTTTCTTTGTTTTTTCGTCACTTTGGGGAGGGATCTGTGAGCACTCCTTTCTGTGTGTAGTTTGCGTGTTCTCTCCATGTCTACATGGGTTCTCTATAGGTTCTCCAGCTTTGTCCAACAGCTCAAAAACATGCATGTAAGGTGAACTGATCACTGTAAGCTGCCGTTAGGAAGGAATGTGGGTGTGGGTGGTTGTTTGTCTCTGTGTGACCAGATGACCTTTCCAGGGTGTACCCCATGTCCCGCCCAATGTCTGCTGGGATTGGCTCCAGCGATCCTACGAGGAATAATGGATGGATGTTTCTGTGATCGCAACGCAATGTATCCTCCAGACTGAGTTGGACATCACCGACTACGACCACCATTTCTTTTTCATACTCGCTTGCCAGAGCAGCACGTCAGCTCAGATATTAAGCCATGTTGTGAACTGATGAAGTCTAGCCATGCTATTTTCAGAGATTCCACGTCAGTAAACTTGTGTCGGTGAAACAAATACTTGCTGTTGCCCACTTTTGCAGCTCTTAGAGCAGCACACTCTGTGAAAATTAGCGTGCACCCCCCCCCCTCCCCCCGGTAATCTCATCACTGGACGCTGAAGGAGACTGATTAACTAGACTCAGGAGGATCACTTAATGTTGAACTCGATTGTTATTTGAGCTTTTTTTTTATTGCTCTCAAAAAGATTATTGTTGGTGGATTAATAGCACCTCTGAGAAAGAGGCTTTAAGACTCACCATGCTAATCTGACAAGTCCAGCACAGGTACAATACCTGTTGCAAGAAAAAATAATCATACAAATCAGTTTAAATTAGTAACATAACACAAGGTTTTGCTTTAAATTGAATCTCAAAAGGTACACAACTATTAGGCAAAATGTTTGTGTAGATAGATTTCTTTTAGATTTAGTCTGATATTCATCTATTAATCAAGCAGCCAGCTAAGGAGATGCATTATAAGCATGACAGAGGCTAAAATGAAAGGAAATCAGGCTGCGTCGGGTAAATCCGCCATTTCGCCAGCTGCACCTTCTGCTTTGGTGCTTTTGAGCCAAGCCCCTCGTTCTTAGACCTCTCAAGAGACGCTGCCGAATGGTATGAAGTGTTCTAGAGGCTCCTATTGGATGAATAAGACTCAAGCGCTTTTTTGTCCTCCTAAAATTGATGCACCTGGGCAATGCTGTCAGCCGGCACCACAGCACCACAGCCACTTCTCGGCCTGTCAGAGAGGCAGTGTCTTCTTACAGTGGCACAGTGTACCTTACATCAGGCTGCATAAGTCACCTCTGTAAATAGCCTAGGACAGCTCTGCATGCTTAGCAAGGGGGCCAAACGCCCTCGTGGGACAGTAAGAGAGTCAGGGGTCGTATTTCACATAAACTACGGCGCCTTTCTCGCCACACACACCGTTCTGCTTTGTATTGGAACACATCCCCATGGGTGTAGACTGTGGTCCTAAACCATCATTTACACACCCAAGTCACCGGATCTGATCAATTTCATATCGGGGCTGCCAAGCAATGGAGGGAGAGAGAGAGAGGGTGGGAGAGAGAGAGGGAGAGGTGCTTACAGAGGCAGGTTTCTGCTTTACTGTTAGTTTGACTGACTGCCTGCCAGCTTCAGCCTTTTATCCAATCAGAGAGCATTTGAGGTGCTCTGGGGGGGGATGCTTAAAATAGCTGGTCATTACCACCTATAATCTGGAAATATGAATTATTAAAGTGCAGGGCTCAGGGACATGGCACTTCATTATCTTGGTTAAAACTGTTACAGCCGTGCATCAACAGGATGGTTCTGTGGTGCACGCTTTTATCTTTTTGGGACATTTAGCCCTTTTTATTGTGTGAATCTATAAGGCCGACGATATTTCACATGATCTCATACGTGTCAAATATGCAGGATATTCCCACTCCCCCCAAAAAACACTGCAGTTAAGAAAAGAACCAGAACATGTTGAGTCAAGCTGATCTTGATCATTCTTTTTAGAACTGTTGGACGTAAGATCGTAGTAATGCAACTTTTGCTACTCCTAGAAAGTTTTTTGTCGTAGCAAGTGGCGTCATGGTCAAGGATCTAGTCGGCCTTTCTGGCTGGCTTTGTTGGGAGTTCTGAATGGAGTTTTGAATGAAAAAGCTTTGACATTTGTCACTCTGACGTAAGGAGTATTACCCTGCTGCGATGGGAAGGAAGTGCACTGCCCGGAACAGAGCGTTGGGAAGGGAATGGAACTTTGGTCCTAAAAACTCCCCCCAAAAAATCACGTTCATCCAGAGCATTGGTTTGTTTTCTGTGGGGAAGGTGGACTTCATAAAGCCAGATAGCGACCTCTATACCGACTGCTGAAACCAGCAACTTTTACATCAGTTAAACATTACTATTAAGTATTAGACATAAACGCCAACTGGAAACCTGCCAACTAGGGTATTACCTCGAACTATTGTATAAATTAAGATAAAGATCATTCAGGGGCTTCTTTTCGGTGAGGAAATGCACTCTGTAATCTTTAACATTTTTCTGGGGTCTTCTTTCAGTTTGAACTCTGACCTTTGACAGCCAACATACTGTAAATACCTATCAATCAATCAAGCGCTCTACTACTCACAGCTCATGTTGCAGTGGCACTGTCTTGTCAACCCTTTTTACCAGCATAACACCTTCCTCCTCTCCCATACATACATATATTTCAGCCATTTTAATCCTTGTGTTAATCCAGTAAAAAGTAATACACATTTCATATTGTTTATCACAAGGATGACTGTAGCTGATAGCGAGCTAACAATGTCATGAATCGTTTCTGTTAATATGTAGCATTCCCTTGAACGTGATGATTTATAAATAACACTGCTTTCTTCTCTTCCGTTCTTTACATTCCCTTTCCTCCTCCCTGTCTTGTCTCTCACTTATCAGGGAATGTCTTCGCATCATTTATTCATGGGAGAAAAATGTCACGGAAATGGGGAGGATCTGAGTATGCCATGAAAATTTAAATTTTCAATTTTGCGTTTTTGAAACCCAGACCATACAGCTAGTCTGAGTTTATTCAGGCCACAAGAGCCGGACCCCGATTAAGATAGCACCGATGACACTCGATAGCCCAGTGCGCAGGAACGTTGGCTGTTTTGAGCCGTGAATACCGAGCCGTGTCCACTAATTTCAGAAAGAAAATCAATCGTATGAATATAGAACGATTGGTGAGTGATCCTCTTCGTCAAGCTGCAGTCCAGCCTTGTCCTGTTGGTGATAGTTTATTTTTTAGGAGGCTAAAGTTTTTGGTGGCATGAAAGTCAATGGGTATATTAGCCACATGGTAGTATTGTCAGTGTTCAAAGTCTGTGTTTGTGTGTGTGTTGGTGGGAGTACAGTTAGAAATGTATGGTAACTTACAGTATGTACACCAGTTCCCCTTGTTATCATAGCTATAGGCTAATTTATAACCTGTGGAGGGCATTCTGAGTTTAAAAGATTTATGTGTGGCATGACTTAGTGGTGTTTGGATCTGCCAGCCATGGAGGTTCCCAGACTCTTGTGCTCTTATGAAAAGTTACACTGAGTAATTTAATCTGCCCGCAAAGTTTCGCAAAGCTTCCCCTTTCACATCTTCCATAGGATAGGGAGTTGGAAATAAAGTGACACTGTTCACATTTCTGTTTGAATGGCCAAAGTCATTCCCTCAAAAACATGTGTAAAATCTTGGATTGTCCTTTCCTAAACCAACCAAGCGCACCAGCTTTGAGCTGGTCTGTGTGTTTTATACGCTGTTGTGTCTGAATCTTTCATGATGCCCCGGCCGTGTGTTATCTAACAGCGTAGCATAGAGCCCTGTGACGCGTTACAGGAGCCATTACTAATTTACTCACTGGCTTTTGGGGAGCTGGCAGACAAACTTCTAATTTTACACATATCCCTGGATGCCAGTTTCAGAAGGAACATTGCAAGTCTCTCTGCTTCGAAAACCTTTTGAAGCACCATCTTTTTTACAGACGGAATCATCTCAGTTAGACATGTCTTTCTTGGTAGTTGGCATGTTGTGAAGCCCACATTACAAATAATCATTTTTAAATTCAAGCAGTTCTTATAGTTGTTCGTTTCTATGATATTTAGGCCAGAGCAAGAAAGGAATACTTAAGTCTTCTTATTGATCTTTAGTCATAGCTAATAGAAATGACGAATGATTAGCTTCCCGTCACAGAGAAAAGTTTTGTGAATTCAAGTCAGTAATTTGGGAGAAAAAACTTCCAATTCTAGATATTCATACACAGTAAAAGCAGGCATACAAAGATGTAAGTACATTTTTTTTGTGTTGCGGCATTTATGTACCTCTAAAGCTTTAAATGTCTGAAATGGGCAAAAACAGTGCCGCTCCATCGAGGAGATGATGCAGGTCGGCCATTTCTGCAGCTGGTGTGAAAACCGCTAATGGCTGGTGTTAGAGTCAAGGGGTCAACCCTGGGTGACTTACATCACAGGTGGGTCATCAAACTCTGAAAAAAAAACTACCACGGCAACTAAAGGACTCCGTTTCAAGGCCTGTTTACGACCAAAGACAACCATTTATCCTGTCCAGAAAAGATTTTTGTTTACAAATCAATAGTTACACCCCCGGCAAAGCTATTCAAGTACCCCCCCCCCCCCCCCAGCTTGCATAGTCGAACCCCATCATTGTGTTTTCGGAATCTAACTAATACCCAACATGTACTTTTGGAGTATCTAGTTCCAGCTGTCTGAATCAAAGGCTGTAATGGATCAAGTTTGAGTCTCCAGATTTACTCTGATGGTTTGCTTTTGGCAAATTCCTGCCAAAGAGAATGAAGCAGAGAGCCGTCCCTTTTTAAGGTTGCCACCCATTAAAAATGGCGTTTCCAACCAACCCCTCTGGGAACCCGCGTTAAGATCGAAACGCACCGTTACTGTAATGTTGCCACGCGGACATGCGACTCCTCCAGTGTGGAAAACACGCCGCCCCCCTCCAGTTCTTCGTTTGGAGCTGGAGCCAAGTGCAGCGGGATGCCAGGACACGTTTTTGACAGCTCACCATGACACTCTGCTCTCATCTCAGTCACCTTACAAGCTCACAGTGACTGGGCACTGCGGGAGCGTGACTGGGCATCGGGAGGCAGAGCCAAGAAGTTACACTTGGCGCCTCGTACTCAAGTCCATCTGGATGGATCGGGTGATAGATCGCCGGCGTGCAGATGGGGAAGTGGGACGGGGAGTCTTGGGAAACTCAAAGTGATTCTTGACTCAGAGAGGGAAAGAGACATAGTGAATGCGAGTGGGGAAAGGATACATGTAAATGGCGGTGTGCGGTGTCTTCTTCCACTTACTAGGCCGTCCTTCTCTTCTGCCCTTTCGACCCTTATTTCTACATGTAGCCACAGGATTGTTGCATTTGCCTCCCACCTCACTGTAGACACCCACAACTTTCGCCAGTCTCACACACAACGCCGCTTCATTTGCCATGCCCTTTGTCAACCGTGTGGTAGCTGCTGTTTCCAGGGCATCATTGTTGGATGTGCCTCTTCTACAGCGCTGCATCAGGTTTCCACGGCAACGCGTCTTTTAGTGCCTTAATTGCAGGTTGGGATACGGTTTTGTTTCACAATCAAACAGATTATACACGCTGCACTCAAACTTGGTTGATACCTCGTATCTTGGGTTTTCATCCAGTTAAAAAAACAAAGAGGTGACATAACCGGGTGTTCTTTTTTGCCCTTTAATTTGTGCTGTTAAGTTTTTTCATTTTTTTACTTTTATTAAAGGATTTGATGCCTGGAATGGTGCAATTTCATCTCTTATGTTTTGTTAAATGTGTTTCCTGTTTTCTCGGGTGTTTTTTTTCCTTACATGTGCTTTACTACATTTTATGATAGACATTTTTACAGGAGATGTCTAAATTATTGTTACAAGAGAGATGTTGTCACTTGATTTAGAAAAAAAAATAGCACAGCATTCAAATCTTTTGTCCCATTTTGAAAATTTACAGCAGTGTTCTCAATGTTTTACACAAAATGTTGCCTTTTGAGAAGTGTGATGTTAAGCCTTATGTTTTAAAAAAATATATCTTCAGTGAACATATTGTAGCTGCATATGTTTGTTTAAACCAAAAAACACATTATTTGGAAATGTAGTCATTGAATACCTTATTAGAAATATCATTAAATGGTAAAAAAAAATTACATTAAAACAAGAATATCCCTTTTGATAATGGAAAGAATTAAAATATTGAAAAACACATTTGATCCAGATACATTTTTTCCTGTTCAGACACAATCATGGATGAAATTGCTGTCATTGGGTTTCATCTGGTGGTGCGTCTGCACATAACATGCTAATGTCATGTAATCAGAGCCCTAGTTTCTGGGCCTGTTCTGTCTCCACCACTTTTGCGTTAAACCTGGAGCCTGTGATTATTGTCCTTTCCTCTAAAGCGTTGCCTCTTTCTGCAGTTGATCACAAGCCTAGCCGCAAATGTCTTTCAGGTATGTGGAGGTCTGCCTCTTGTGCCATATGTTTCATAGCTGGGCTGTAAAGTATGGATTCTCCTCTTGCTGCAGGGTCTGCTAACTGTTCCACTTTTTACTCCTTGACTGCAATTTAGTTTAAAAAGAAATGACATTACGTGACGTAACTGCCAGCACCGCAGACCAGTGGAGACTGAGCCGCTTTCAAAGTCCCGTAACAGCAGCAGCTTGGGCTGTGCCACTTTAAGTTCACATTTGTGAGACGAAAAGTAAGTGTGTGTTGTTTGAAAAAGCCCCCCCCTCCCCCTTTAATCTCTTAATCAACCTCTAACAAGTCCATCCATCCTCAACCATTTCCTCTGTAATACAGTTTTCACCATGACCAAAAAGAGCGAGTTCACCCAAATCTTAAAAGCCAATTTAAAAAAAGGATTTTACTCTAGATTAAATATAGTCACAGAAACATTTACCAAAACTCTATAATTCTCTATGCCAGCACAGCTTTGTCGAGTACTATACAAACTCAGTAGGTTAATGAGGGAATTGAAAGTCCTCGAGAAATTAACAGGAAATATGAGAATTGAGACTCAGGCAGGGTTTCTAAACTAGGGCCCACAGTCATGTGTCCAGTTTTTTTACCCCCATCTCTAGCACACGTTTCGAAGGAATGGATTCGCTATTCAGCTTTGCAAAGGTCAATAAAAAAACATTCATTTGAATCAGGCGTGTTGGGAAACAGGCAGTGGGCCCTGAGTACCGAGAAACACTGACTAAGTGCATAACTACTGACTCATTACCACTCAAGAAGAAAATCTTTTATAATTACGGCAAGAATTGGGCTGAGTCAAATAGAGAACTGAATACGTAAACTGATCCTACAAAGAATGAGGCTGAAAAACAAAAAACAAAAAATCACCCCAGAAGTCAAAGGGGAACCGAACAAAAACACAAACAGACAAAATCAGGGCGCTAAGAATAACCCCAAAAAACGCGGAACAAAAAAAACAAAGCAATGATGATCGTCAAACTCTGATAACTGCTGTGCCATGCTCTGATTCATTGCTGTCTGCGTAGGTGCAGTTTGCATTCAACCACCGAAGACAGTTAAAACAGTTTCTATCCTGATTATTTGGGTGAAACGTTCATATTTCAAATTATGAGCTCCAGTTTCGTAGCTTAGAAACAGGAACTTTTTCACAGATTTTTACTTCCTGTCTTGTTTACTACATACATACCGCTGTGTATAGATTTTAAAGGGGGGGTGGTACTGCACATGTTTTTTTTTCAGAATTTGGGTGAACTTCCGCTTTTAAAGTAAAAATAATTATGCTGTATCATTGATTTAACCGTTCCCATCAAATGTTATGCGGTCATAATCTAACCCGATTTATTCAGCCAACTGGCCTCTAATCTGGAGATCAGAAGAATGGATGGCATGAAGCTCTGCCTACCATATGACACACTAAAACACCATAAATAGCGTGTGGCTATTGCACTGGTGCTTTTGGCTGCTTTCATTATGAAGCCATTTCTGAAGTGCTGCTTTGCAACCTGTTACAATGCTTTGGACTCACTTCATGGAAAGAGCGACCTCGTATTTCAAGAGCCAATTGAGATTTTACACCCTACAGGTGCCAAATGAGGTGGAAAGGCAAACGGAAGTGAGAACAAAAAGAGAACGCGCGCTGAGAGTCAATCGCTTCCACTAAGGAGAGAAGTACGCTCGAGTGTGGGTTTTTACGGTGGAGATGTGTGAGTATGCGAGGGCATCGTGCTGCATCGTTACTTCTGCAGAGCGGGAGCTCCTCTCCTTTCCCGCTGCACCTGTCGCCGCGTCTCTTCCCCTTCGACATAGTTGGCTCAAGTTCTGCCCCTCTTGTTCTTCTGGAACCCCCCGCTGTCCGTCCTGCTCCCATGTCCGCCATGAGGCCTGTCAATTGTTGGCTTTGGTTTCGCTCCGATTTAGAAAGTGCAAGGCAGCACTTGGAGGACGTTGGCCTTGAAACCGAGATGAAACGCCAACGGGTGGCACACATAAATGAAACCGAAAGTATATTTTCGAGGATTTTGAAGTGTCCACCTCTGGAGAGGTTACTCAGCCATCAAATCAGCACTCACAGTGTTAAATGCAACCTTCCTTTTATCTGCCTCTCCACTCCATCCACCTCTTTCTGTCTCCGTCACTCTGTCTAGCTCGCAGCCCAAGTTCTGGATGAACTGGAAGATGAAGACATTGGATTCGGCCTGGTGGATGAAAAGAAAGCCTCAGCTGTTGCCAAGAAGCTGGGTAAGGTTGGCAGAAGCTATTTCAAGTGAAGCCAATGATTACTCATTTAACGTTGTGGCTAAATGAAGGTAATTTAATTTCAAATCTGGATACTTTTCTCAGAGCCTTTCCCAGCAGAATTAATTACATCTACTAAGACTTACCAGAACTCTGAACTAATTTCTGAGGACTTGTTTTTTTTTCACTGGCACCTGATGAGTAATTGCTTACCATTGGATTCTGCTAAACATTGCAAGATGCAAAGTACTGAAAGATTTAAAAAAAAGTTAAATTATATAATTTTCACCATATGTACCTTGAATTTCTGTTAATCAAAATCGATCAAAAGTAACCGACACTCCAGCCTTTCAGCCAAATTAACAAAAACATATGGTTCATGATTAATATCCTAGTCTATTCTCTGTGAATGGGGTACCAATTTAAAAAATGCATGTCGGTGGGGCAGGGACAGGCAACATATGAACCAACCCTGCCCTCAAGTGTTCACTAGAGATATGACAGCTCCTGTTGAACATGAGTGGACTGGAACCCCAAATGGAGATGCTGAGATACGTTTTCTTACCTTATATTTCATGCTTTCTTGGTTTATATTATAATGTCACGAGTTAGAAATATCTTAGAATATATATTTTAGAAATATCTACATTTGGCACGATTTGTTGCAGAGCTGTAATATCTGACATGTATAACAGCAGGCCTTATCCTTACTTTGGGTAGAAAAATAAAAAAGCTCATGAACAGCCGGGGCACGGAAGTGGATCTGAATTTCCGGGACCTTAGAGTCCTTAGGATCCCGTAGATTGCAGGATGGGGAATCAGTCCTCTCCAATGTAGGGACTTTTCTTAGGGGTAAGGTCATGTTGGGAACATATCTGAAGGTACAGTCCCATTGAAGGGTTTGCCTGGCCTGAAATGACTTTTTAATAAGGGGTGAATTCGAAGTTAACATTGAGGCAGATGCAAGGACACTGTACCATACCAACCAATATAACAACTAACCTTTAGTTGATTTATGGATCTACAAAACACTTTTTTGTCTCTCCAGGTCTGGATGAAGTGGAGAGCATCTACATCTTTGTGGATAATGAGATAATTGAGTACGATGGGGAGCTAGCAGCTGACACCATCGTTGAGTTCCTCTATGATGTAAGAAACCATGAGATCCTTGATTGAGGATGAGGCCACTTCATGTTTTTACGTTGTTACAAAAGCACATTCCCATAAACTTTCTCAGGTCATCGAGGACCCTGTGGAGATCATCGACAATGAGCGTGAGCTGAAGGGCTTCTACAACATAGATGACGTGATCAAGCTGGTCGGCTACTTTAAGAGCGAGAGATCCCCTCGTATGTTGAATGTTGTTAACTTTTGCTTGGAACTTCAGATACATCACTCTTCTGTTCCACAAATGTGATGCCTCTCATTGGTTTGCTTACGTTTTCTGCTTCTAGATTTCATTGAATACGAAGATGCCGCTGAAGAGTTCCACCCCTTTGTCAAATTCTACGCCACGTTTGACGCAAAGGTTGGTTGTTGATTTTTTTTCAATGTGGGCATGGTGTAAATATCAATGGTCATTTACCAATGCAAAACACCTACAAAGGAAACCTACAACATTAAAAAGAAATGTGTAATCCGCTTGGAGTTGATTTTGTACAAGGAACTCCTGGTTCTTGAAATCTGTCCTGCTCCAAAACGCGACGGTTTCGTTGCTCTCTTTTCAGATTGCAAAGAAGCTGAAACTGAAACTGAACGAAGTCGATTTCTACGAGCCATTCATGAACGAACCAGTCAGCATACCAGGAAAGCCCTACATTGAGTCGGAGCTTGTTGATTACATTGAGGAGCACGACAGGTGAGCAACCTGGAAAGCTTTATCCACGGGGCTCCCCCTGCTCTATGACTTCCAACTGCGCAATGTTACTGTGACAGATGTGCAACTGCATGTAAATAGTCGTAGATACATGGGTAAACCAAAGCAGTTTCCCACCGATGAGCTTCTATTCTCCATAACAGGAACATTTTTTTTATGTTTTTCAATGTTTCAGACCCACTCTGAGGAAACTCGAGCCTCACAGCATGTATGAGATCTGGGTAAGTGATTCCATATTTTTCCAAATAAAACCACCTGCTTGACCGTTTTTTTCCTTCTTACATTTTCTCCTCCCCAAGCAGCGTTCTATAAGCAGGGAGGGGGAAAAACTTGTTAATCCTCTTTATATTCACAAAGGAGGATGACATCGACGGAGAGCACATTGTCGCCTTCGCTGAGGAGGATGACCCAGGTGAGTTTAAAACAGAATGAAAAGCACAATACACCAATAACGTGATTACATATCTGCTTTGAATTCATCCGGCAGACGGTTTTGAATTCCTGGAAATTCTGAAGGAAGTGGCTCGCGAGAACACAGACGACCCCAACCTGAGCATCATCTGGATTGATCCTGACAATTTCCCTCTGGTATTAACATTTCTGACCATTCCGATCCCTGCACTCTTTTCAATAATCAGGATACCCAAGGCTGACTACACTCTTAACCCCGCCCCCCTCTGCTTGCCTACAGCTGGTGCCATACTGGGAGAAGACCTTCGGTATCGACCTCTCCTCTCCTCAGATTGGCGTCGTAGATGTCGAGGACGTAAGTGAGCTTTTTCCTCCACTGAGGATAAACGGCTTCAAGTTCTTTCCAACACCAGAGAACAAGACTGCGTGTGTTTACTGTGAACCCTTTAAAGGGACTGGGTTCCCATGCCCGATCACTGGTGCACACAGCTAAAGTGGAAACTTCGCTTGATTTCCAACGAGCTGGAGAAAAAACAGTCAATGGGGGTGGGGCCGCTTCGTAATTGGCAACGTCGTGGGCTCCGGCCAAGCGGGGAGGGTGTGTGCGGGGTCTTTTGCCGCCTTGCTCATGTCGGTGCGGGGGTCTTTGGCAGGCTGACAGTGTGTGGATGGACATGGACGACCAGGACGACATGCCCAGCGCCGACGAGCTGGAGCAGTGGATCGAGGATGTCCTGTCTGGAAAGATTGATCCTGACAATGACGACGACGATGATGATGACGATGATGATGACGACGATGATGATGACGATGATGACGACGATGATGATGACGACGACGATGATGATGACGACGATGATGATGACGATGATGATGACGATGATGATGATGACGACGATGACGATGATGAATAATTGTTGCTATGGTGTTCCACTATGTACCTAATGGCAAAAACTCAAAGTATACATTTATTTGAAAGCTCTTTCAACAGACAGAACTGTCTCATTTGCTTCCCACACGTGGCAGATATCATGGGGGGAAAAACTAAAATTAGGGAAGGAGACCCCCAGTGTATCGGAGGATTTCGGTCTCCGATGGTGAGCAGGGCTGCACTTTTAAATGACAGAGTTCTAAGGCTTTTGGAGTGTCCGCCAGTCGTCTCTCATCTCTTGCGCTCAGTGATTGGGAAGCAGCAACTCGAAAATCCTGAGTTTTTTCATTTCAACCTAATGTCACAGACCGGGATCTCTGCCTCTCTCTCTGTCCTTTTCTTTTCTTTTTTAAATCACCGTCATCTTTGCTTCCGTGCCATATTTTTACTTGATTAAGAGGAGGGGAAAAAAACAACACTTATTTGTGCAATTTTTGAAGAAAATCAGCCTAGTGTCACTGGACAGTCTTAAGACCATTACAGCCTTTGTAAACTAAGGTTCTGGGTAATAAAATGTACAACACCATTATTCCCTGCTCTCATATTTGAAGAAAAAATATGAACCAATGCTTTTATGTGCCCTAAGTGTTAGGACACACAAAATCTAGAGGATGATACTCTAGAACTCTACTGCTTCAGGAGTAAATGGAGCCACAGGAGTCTTTAACACAGACACAAGCTTTATCTTTATGAGCTATAGCAGTGGATGGCTATCCCTTCATTTGTACGTTTAGTAGCCAAAAACGATGGCATCTATGATCTGATAAATGTTCATAAAGTATTATGTCTGGGTAATACACAGTTGAAATGATGAAGATTTCAGCCCAGGCATGAGTCACTTTGAAAGGAGTAGACTTTGAATACAATATGAATCATGTTGACTCATGTTGTACGAGTTGATTAAAAACTGCCAATGAATGCTAATTAAATCTAGACTCTGACACTCACCCTCATTCATCCAGTGTTCATCTCCCATAAGTTGTTGCATACAGTCTAAATATTAAAATAGTCAAAAATTATATTTAGAACTCAACACATTTACCAATGATATTTGTGTATGACGTCTGAAAAAAACCTGCAGCTGATGCATTATAAGGCAAAAAGGTAGTTTGTTATATTCTCCCCGCATAAAATAATCCTTTCAAAAAGAATAACTTCAAACGAATATGTCAAATAGCTGCATGTAATCTGTTCTTGTACATAAAGTACAGTCCAGTATGAGTGAAAACAAACGGGACACAACGAGGAAGTGAAGTGTACTGAATGACTGCACGTCGAGATACTGTTAAAAATTAACAAAAAGCCTCAAAACTACAGAGAAGCAGCGAGGAGAAACACTGCAATCCCAGTCTAGGAGAGGGAGCAACCCTGACTCGAGATGAGCTTGAGCGTTTTACTGTGCGTGCTGTTGTCCTGTGGTTTGACTTTGGGAGTCCCACATGAAACTCAAACATGCGTTCCTGATGAGTGCAACCTTCTGAAGGAGCTTGGCGCCCTGACTGAAAAACAGAAAACTGTGGAAGCCAAGCTAAAGGAGAGTGAGGACAAGATCCTTGAACTGCAAAAGAAAGGTAAAGGCGTAGCTCCACTTCAAAGAACAAAACGTTTCTAATGAATATGTAGAGAAACGACTGCCGTGCATACCGCAATGATGTGTTGTTTTCATATCTAGCGTCTAAAAAGGTGGTTTTTAGTGCTGCAGTGGGTGGAAGTGGCGCCATTGGACCCTTCCCCACGGACACAACTGTAAAATACAGAACAGTAAGAACAAATTTGGGGAGTGCTTACAATCCGTCAACTGGTAAGTAAAAGATCGACATTATCAGCCATCTCTTTCGTAAAAAAGAAAAATAATGAAAAAAACGTTCTTAAGCTTCCAGGCTACCCAGCTGACAAAGTAAACAGATACAAAAAACAAACACTCAAGGTTCATTAATCTTTGAGCGTAATGTATTAGTTATGCTAAGAAATATGACAAAACAAGTCCGATGACGTAAAAAAGGAAGAAAGATTATCCGAATTTTATGAGATTAAGAGAAAAAAAAACTTTACAATCAGATACAAAAAATGCTTTTATCACATCTCGGATTATGCCAATGATAATAGCTCTCATATTAGAGAATAATTTAAAAAAGAAAAAAAATGTCTGCAGCTATTGCTTTTGCTTGCGTATACTACTATCTTAACACCTATTGATGGATGCCTTGGTCAGGCAGACCGTTTCTTTCAGAGGGGACCTTAGCTAAGCAGCATTTAAACATGCTGTCATCTTAAAAGAGTGGCTGAAATACAACATGTAAAAGTATGTGCACGTTGTTTTCCACAGGCATCTTTACCGCCCCTGTCCAGGGCATTTACCACTTCAGCTTCTTCTATCACGCTGGAGGATCGCACTATGCACACTTAGTCCTCATTCAGAACGATGGGAAAGTGGCCGAGGCCTACGACCACAAGACAAATGCGGATACCGCCGATAACGGGGGCAACGCCGTATTCCTGCACCTGGAGCAAGGAGACAACGTGTTCGTGCGCTTAGGTGCCAACACGCACATTTGGGGGAATGACCACATCTCCACGTTCAGCGGTTTTCTTTTGTATGAAGTCTGAGCTAGATTTGAGTACAGATTCTTCTTTTTTTTTGCCTCATCACGACTGTAACTTCTGATCGCTTTTGACCAGTCTAAAAAATAAATAAGAAAGAAAAACGTTGATTCAAGTGTAATAGTCGGTAATTAATATCAGAAACTGTTGAAATGTTTTCATAAGAAGAAGATAAATAGGGTTCAAGCACCATGTGGAATGAACTATGGTTGCTAATGGAAGAAACACATCATTCTGGGGTATACAGGCACTAAAGGGAGGCTATTTGCGTCTGTGTTCTGATGAACACCAAATGCCAGAATAAAAGGCATGTTTTTTTTAAAGAAATCGTACAAATAAATGCTGTTAAAGTAACAGTGAGGGCCTGAGTTCATTTCAGAGTGGATGATTCATGGAGGGTAGAGAGCTTTTAGGTAGCAGCCTGAATCTATATATATATGTAGCACCCCAACACTCAGTAAATGCCTAAGTAAAAGGAACTCACCTTGGACTTGAATGATGGGGTGTTTGGGTTTGATGTATTAAGGTAGCTATCACGAAGGTTTACCTGTTTTGTGTGGAACGTTGTATAGCCTACTACCTTAGGAATAAACACAACACTGTTAGACTAAGCAGTGGCTATATTCAATACACTATTTTAAATAACTGACCCCAGACAACTCTTCCAAAATAAATGAAATAAAGTTTTACTAAACAGTTGTGTTTTCAGTTTAACACAGAATATTTATGTTTTTAGTTAACACACAACAATAACAATTACCAAATTTGGCAAAACACTGTAGAAAGTCACACTTGTAAAAAGAAAAATAGAATTGACCATATCAAAATACTATTCAAAACTTAAATTATCTCAGATCTCTGAAATGCCTTGTGCTTAACACTTTAGCAGGGTTTCTCTGTACTTATCAGACTCGACTCATATCAAATACACTATTCAACTGAACTCTAACAAAACAGTGGGCCCACACACACACTCTCACACACGCACACAAAAACGATAAACGTTGCAGGCCTGTGTGCTCCAGGGGCAGTGCGGCAAGCAAATCCTTATCTTCAATGTCACTTAACAGTCCCACAGAACATCCAACTCACGGTCTGGAATAAGTCCTGGCGAAAAACAGCTCATGAAGAGATGAAGATGAACGTGAACGGCGGCAGAAGGGACGTCCTCCTCAGGAAGCGCGAAACAGTCCTTCCCGCTCCGCAATGGCGTCCTCTTGACTGGCGGCTCGCTAGCTTTAGCTTAGTTAGCACAGTCACTCAAGCAATACTCAAACGCTGTAATACACTGTGATTAAGCAGGAAATGCACGTTACTGCCCTCAACTATAGCTTCTTACGTTACTTAAACATACAACAAGTTATCTACCAAAACTCATTACTTCTTAACTTTTCTTGAGCTCCGCATGTCACTCTCTCGTCAATTCTCTTCTCGCCCGTTTTTCTCCGCCCCTTTTTCACTCACTCCCTTACCTATGCCCAATTACCAACATGTGACACTGATTGACATATACAGCAACCAATCAAACGAAACAGCATGAACCAATAACACCAATCTGAATATTCATGTTTGGTTTACCACACATCTTTCTTCAGCTACTATTCCGTTTAATGTAACTACTTAATTAAATTAACTATTTAAACTCTATTTATTATGAATTTATGTTAAACATAACATTTCACCTTTCACTGCTTATTACAACTTAACTTTAACCCCTGTACTTTTACACCAGGCTGCATATATATATATAAAGCTTAGTTACATCCATCCATCCATTATTTCATATATTTAGATTTACAACTTCTAAGTAAAATGTCCTTGTTTTTGTGCAATTTATGTTTTCCCTGTTCAAGGTTTTAGACTTCATGCCACGTCCGAAAGGCACAACTGTTGTCACGAATGATTAACGAGGAAAAATTGTATTTCTGAGGCTTTTTAGCGCATGTCAGTCGTGCATCTCTTCCCTCTAGAATCTAGAGTCTAGATGTTTTGAGAAGTTTGACTCAGCTGAAACCTTTTTCAGCCAAGAATCTATTCACGCAGTGATCACAGGGACTTCATAGAAAAGTGTTTGTCCACTCTGATGGGTGCTCCGGTGTTAAGCTATGACACAATCCTTTTAGGTCAGTTTAGTAAACAAGATATGTTGAACGATGCACACAATTTCAGAAAAATGACCGAATATACTGTATGTTTTAACACGCAATGATGCCCATCAGCTACAGACCCAAACAAAATGTCAACAATATCTTTGTTGCTGATAATAAAAACACCAGTATACCCAGTTTTCTTTGTCACATCTCTAACAAACAGGAACACCTGAAAACTTTTAATTTTTTAAACCCGCCTCATAAGTTCCTCCTCAGAGGAAGTTGAAAAAGAGGTGGGAGAGATAAGAAACGGTAAGAAAGCAGAACTGCAGGAAGGTTGCAAAAGTTCAAAGGTGGGGATGAGGATGGCCTCGGGGTGGTTGCCTTCCTTCGATTCCTCTCGCTCAAAAACCTTCAGCGTCAAAGACCAGTCGAGGACAGCAGGGAGCAAAGAGTTCTCCCCTTGTGGCTCGGCCCTCTTGAGATTGGAGTAAAGGAATAACACTTGATGAAGATTGCCATGCTGAAAAAAGGCAGACATGTATAGAAAATATATTGAAAAAATAAATATAAGCTTCTCGGTCAGGTCAGTATTTTTCAGGAAGCTTGGTACACCCTGACGGGGACTTTGGACTCCCATAGACGTACAAAAGTGGCACGACAAACTTACAGTGTGGAAAATATCAGGTATGAGCATCTTTCAGTTCTTTCCATTTTCTATGAACGTCTCTGACCAGAGTTAAAAAAGTCTCATGTTTAATCATCAAAAACCTCTGAAAATAACTCTCTCCACCCTGTAGCTTATTTAAAGAAAACAATGGAAAAAGTCAATTGTAGCAAAGGGACACTAGTAGTCTAACAATATGAACAACTTTAAAAATATCCTGTGTAAAGCATGAGGACCAGGAAGTCTGTATTTGGTTAAGTGGAAATGTTGAAAGAAGTAATTCGTTTTCAAAGATTCACAAAAAAGGACATTTGTTCATTGCTGCAAAGCTTTAATAACAACTCTCAGTCACAGCATTAAAACATCCTACTACATTCAGCCTTCAATGGAACTTTTTATGTCACCGAGACCACAAGGATTTAACCATGTTCGTTGGACGAAATGGAGTTGGAAGATAGTAACGTGTGATGAGAATGTGTAATGTTGCCGAAGCGCAGTAGCTTTTCAAGATATCTGGGATCATTTATCGAGCAGAACGCCATCACTTTGCTAAGCTTTGCAAAGGATTTCAAAGCTCATGGGCTGCAGGTCCAGCCATTTAGTGGTGGTGCAGGGAAACTTGCTTGGTAATGAGTAGGACGACACCGGTTCGACACCTTGTTACAAGCTACCACTGGATACACTGTGCGGGAGACTACATTTGTAACTTTGCAATTATAGGTGCTGACATTGACGTTGTACACCAGAATGCTGGATTTACTGATGCACAGGTTGAGGTAATGGCGTATTCCTCCTCCATTGCAGATCTTCACGGCGAGATTCTGATCCTGTCTGGGGATGAAGGTCTGAAAAGGTCGGTCACAGAGTTTCTTCTTCCTAATGTACCTGAGGAATGAGACCAAAGCCCAGTGTTACCGGAAATCCAACAGTTATCTTTGGAAAGCAGATGGAAAGTTTAGATAATCAATAAACAACAAACAATGCCTAAGAATGAAATGAGAAGGAAGTATTTACTGTACAACCAATTGAATCAAAAGATCTGTGTCACTATCAACCTGCTTATAGCTGACATACAATATTATCTACTTTATGATACCTAATCAGGTAAGGAAGTTTTAACGATGCCATATGATTCCTTTAAAAAACAGGTTTTGAGTTTCACCCACTTTTCCCAGGCGGTCTTTGATGCGGTGTTGATTTTGTATTTAAGGATGTGTTTCCGAATAAACTTTATGTAGGCATTGTTGTCATAGTTTCTCTGACACGGACTTCTATTGAAGGCTCCTGCTCCGTCCAGGATCAGAGCGAAGGCCACAGCAGACATGGCAGGGATCAGGATAGCCACGTTCATCTTGTCTAGAGAAAGAAGAAAAGGAAGTCATTCATCCAACAATCATCATTCGAACCAGGAATCATCTCATCTCTTGATGATAACCACCACAGAGGAACAAACACAAATTCCGCCGACTACAAGCTGTTCCTTTTTTGATGGAAATAGATGATATTTGCTCACCTGCTCTGATTAGCCTTCTCTGGACTCCCGGTGCTGTTGTTTATCAGAATTAGTCGACTTGTCTATGAAGGAGATTGGTGTCAGCTGAGGATTCTGATGGAGAGTGGAAATACTGCCCATTTTATGAAGTACTGTGTGAGAAAAAAAAAAGAAAAAAAAACTCCACCTCCACATCCAATGAAATTACCATAGCTGAACATACCATAAATGGGATGTTTTTTTTTTGCTGTATGTATGCAAATCATATAAGCACAGCATACAGGAAATAAGCCATTACACAGTTTGATTGCATTAAACAATCAAACTAAATAGAACAAAATAGGTTTTCATTACCTGCTCAGATCGGCTTGTCGCTGGAGGGTTAGGGGAATATGTGTGAAAAAAGTTTAGTGTCTCATCTGAAGGGAGAGTCTCACACAGACTACAGAAACTGCTTCCTATCGAAAACTAAAAAAACCCAAACCGTCATCTTCACCCTGAGCGACGTAAGTGTTAATATGGTGTTTAATATGTGTGAAAATACAACAGCACACAGGAAATACGGAAGTATGCCCAGTTTACTGTAAGTTAAACAATACTGTCCAAAGATATAAAGCCTGGTCAGTGTCTGGGAGTCTAAAACATGATGGTTTGTCAACCTTCATAAAACAGATAATTGTTAACAATCATTATTACCTAATAAAGACCCCCACCCCACCCTTTCAGACCGTCACTAGTTTCACACACAAACACACACACACACACACACGCACGCACACACACACACACACATACCTTTACATCGCTGACTGTAGCAGGGGCGACAATTTCAGGAGCCCCAAAGCCATTCATTTTGGCAATGCTGATTGGCCAAATATTTATTTATTTTCCCTAGCAACATTATACAATTGGTTATTTCGCTACACTTCTGGGGAGCTTTGAGTGAACGCCCCAGAAGAGAAATTATATGTTCTGTGGATGAAAATGCACTGTTGAATCATAGTCAATTGGTAAAAGTGTTGTTTTAACAATTCATATTATACGTAGCCACATACTATTAAGTAAAACTGACATTGATAATAATTTTAAAATCTATATATATTAGGACTTTCCAGTGGTGGGCCGTCAGGGCCTGCAAGGCCTTCTCTGCAGGCCTAAGAAAATATCTGAATCACAGACTGATGTTAATTATATTTTGTCCATGGAGACTTATTACATATTTCTAAATAGTCTGTCCGCTTCCTTTCATAGCTTTTCCCCTGGTTGTGCTACTTCCAGACATGCCTTTTCATATAAAAGCATTTAACCAATCACATTTCAGCCATCATTTGTCGCTAGGCAGGGTCAAAGTCAAAGATGTCTTGCAGGAGGCCTCCACAATCCCCGCTCCCCCCCCCCACACACACACAGAAAATACAAGTCGAGTACGCTGTTGCTTAAACCAATCAGATTTTATGTTGGTGGCACCAATCCGTCATGAGCACTAGCATCTCCTAACCCACAGGTCTATGTCCTAAGCATTAAGTTGTTATAAGAGTAAATCCCTGTTCAACATGAGTCTGACAACTAAATAATTAGATAAATACTTTTCAACTTTGATACATGAAGCCGGATCGGGACATCCATACTGTATTTCTACATAATAAGATGATTTCTATAACCAGAAAAAAGTTATTGAGGGGTGAATTGGTTCAGACGGAGCACTACTGAAGGCCTAGGTGTGAAATGCACGGTCCGCCACTGGGACTTTCCCCCTCCACATCTAGGGACGAGGGCCGAGTGGCAAAATACGAAAAAGCTGCGTGAGAGAATTCTTTTCCAATATTTATATGTATATTTGTATATATTTACACATTTACATATATATATTTACACTTTTATATACACATTATATATAGATATATATATATATACACACACACAAACACACACACACACACACATATATGTGTATATATATATGTAATGTATATTATAAATGTGAATTAAAAAAAAATAAATCAGAATCAGTTAAATGCAAATGTTTGTGTTCTTTATTCAGAAAACCGTCATGTCACATCTAATTTCAGGATGTGGCTATTATGGACACATATTAAATGTTAAATTTCAATATTTCAATATTTATATCACAGTAACAGTAACAGTAGCTGAAAACACTTAGCATTAGAAAAGTACAGGTTTGGTGCTGACTTATATCCTAAACATATGGCGTAAACATTTCTAATCATCACTTTAAAAGTTACACACGTTTTTTGGTGCCCATTGTTTACCAGTGAATGGGTGAATAAGATATAAGATGCATTACCTTAACGCACGTTTTAGAAAGGCGCTTTATGGAGTTCAGTCCGTTTCCTTTTATGAGTTCACGGGCAGTTCTGCCACATCCAAGATGGCGGACGCGCTGACGTATCGCTGCAACTGACAAACCTGTTCAAAGCGGAGTCTATCATGATCAGCATGGCGCGGATACTTGTACGCATGCGTGCTTTGGACCGTTGTCATTTGAAACTGCGCGGCGGGTGGTTGACGCTTTCATAGATTTGAAGTAAAACAAATGCGAACACAGAGGCACATACACTCTAGAGTTCGTAGTCGAGAATTTAGGCAAGAGCATTAAGAAAATGACAAGCACTTTGAAAGGAATCACTCTTAAAGGAAGTGCAGAGCTGGTGGCGGAATTTTTCTGTAAGTATTTTTTTGTTAAACTTCTGCTTTCAGTACCTCGTGCTCCACGTCCTAGAAACGCAGACGTACATGCTAACATGCTATTGGGACTGCATTCAGGGCTTTTAGTACATTTAGTATCATAACCTCAATTCCACGAGGTATGTGGAAAAACTGAATAAAGGGTCTAGTTCAGGGTAAAGACGACTGTGTTCGAAACATATTCGTTCTTAAACTGTTTATTTGGCCTATCTATTACTGCAGAGATTGAGATGGGATTTTCACAGATGGTGAAGTTTATTGTGATTGCTATGCCAAACAAGAATGGCAATGGCAATATTTAAAGATAACCGAGATAAAGAGAAAATGGTTAATTTTTTGTCAGGTTACACTGAAATATATTTCATTTGATGTATTAAAATGCCTAATTCTACAGAAATATCCTATTGTCTGTTGGAGAACATATTAAGTAAATCAATTTTATGTTTTTCTGTTGTTTAATTTTGATATCAGTTATAACAAATCTGAGTTCCTGATAGATAGATATATATATATATATATATTTTTTTTTTTTTTTTTTTCTGGTTGCTTCTTTTTCTGTAAGTATAATTAGATTCATTTCTGTTCCATCTAAGCTGCCTCTCTCTTTTCTCCATAGCATTTGGAATTAACAGCATCCTCTACCAACGGGGCATTTATCCTCCAGAGACATTTACAAGAGTAACTCAATATAATATGAGCCTTCAACTCACAACTGATGCGAAATTAAAGACGTACCTGACCAGTGTGGTGTCTCAACTCAAAGGTAGTAGCCCTTTCAAAATCTTGAGCTTTTGAAAAACAGACAAACGCAGCTTGATAAGAATTGTTAAATCTTTTAAGCATTTTTATAAAACAGACTATGAATTGATAAATAATATAAATATTTCACAGTAAACTGGTTGGCATTCATATTTTCACATTTGGTTTTATCAAATGACTAAATGTGTCAGAAATTGTGATGGAAATTAAATGCATTTTCAGATTATCTATTTGCTGATATGAAAACCTGGTGTTTGTAGCCACAGCATCATCTAACATATTTGGGGGGTTTCCACTAGAACCTACTTGCGGCTTGACTTAATTCTACCTAATTTAAAAATGTAGAAACAACAAATAGCAAATTGAATTATTTCTGTAACCGTTAATGCTGCTCATAATGGATAAACAAACACTGAGGTTAATTTATTGTTGCCTTCTCATATGTTGTAGTTTTGTCAGGTTACATAGGTGGCCTTTCAGCATGGGACTTTACCCCCTTAATACTGCTAAAAGAATAGACAAAAGCATTCTGTTTCCTCTGAGAATATGGTATTAGTGAATCAATCGTTGGCCTTTGCATTTCAAAAATACACTTGTGCTGTTGCATTGAATGCCTTTCCTTAACAAGTTGGTTTTAGGTCAATTGAAGCACCCAGAAATTGATGAGGTGATTGCACTTTCCAGCTCTTGTAACTTGTTGACTGAAAGATGCAATTGATAATTAGTGCAGTGAAATGTAATCACTTCGTCCGCTGAAGTCAGGACAGTGGACAGCTATTTAAAAGCCATTATATTATTAACTAAAGTTGACACTGGTGCATCATGCAATCAAAATAAAAAATGTCCACAATAATATACTCGTAAAAAGGAGCTGAGAGACTAAGATCAAGGGGTATAATGAGCAGGAGTGAGACAAAGGATGAAATAGTTGTGAATAATAAAATAGGATGAGAGTTGCATGCAAAGTTGTATGTTTTTTCTCACATCTGAAGACTAGAATCCTGACCTGAATGTGAGTAATGTTAACAAATATAAAAATATATTAATATTGTAACATACAGTATTTCATTAGTACAGGACAGTATTCCATTAGTAAGAAATCTTAAAACATATGTGGGCCACTTGAGTGGAAAAATCCTTGAATAAAAAGATTTTTGACAAAGTCACCCTTTTTTGGTAATGCCAAAAAGACTTTGAAGCACTTTGACTGAAATGATAATTCATGCATGAAACTGTTAGTGTCATCAAAAGCTATGAAAGTAACACTTAAATGAATTATAAGAGAGCTTCTCCATTTATCATACTTATATTTAAAATGTAATGTGTATGTGATGATCCAAAGGCTGAACCTAAACCTTTGTTTGCCCTTTGTGTTGCAGAGTGGCTTTTTGACTGCACAGTACAGAAGCTGGTGTTGGTCATTACGTGTCTTGAAACCAATGAGGTGCTGGAGAGATGGCAATTTGACATTGAATGTGACAAGTCGGCCCCAGATGGCAGGTTGGTCCTCCTTTTTTCTGTAATTTTTTTATTGAGATGGTTAAATGGGGTTTTCTCACATCTGAAGACTAGAATCCTGACCTGAATGTGAGTATAATGGTCAGAATTCTTCTTCTTTAAACAAGTACCTGCCAAAACGATAAATGACTGTGTTAATACCCATAGTCGAAACCATCACAGCTGTATACAATAATAGTCACAGATATCTTCTGGTTAAGTTGAAGTTAGTGGCCACCATAAACTCGGTTCGTCTATCATAAATCAAGAAATTCCATCAAAATCCTCTGGTCAAATTTGCCGAAACAACTCTGAAGACTTTTTCTTTTATGATGTGACTTCCATTAGGGAAATGCTACATTGTTTATCACTGTTTACAGCATCATGTCTCATCATTTTGTCTTACCTCTTCCTGTTTTTGTGTCTTTGTTTATGTTTATGCATTTGGCAGACGCTTTTATCCAAAGCGACTTACAGAGTAGACACAATATTACAAATTCTCATCACTATAATAAGCTTATATAGAGGAGAAACACTGATCAGAGTCAGTGGTGAGATAGAGATAGAGGTAGAGGGGCTACAGAAGGAGCTGTGGGGGGTAGAGGTACGGGTTAGGGATAGGATAGGAGATGCTCTTTGAAGAGGTGGGTCTTCAAGAGTTTCTTGAAGACAGACAGGGACTCTGTCTTTCTTGTGGCGCTTGGTAGGTCGTTCCACCATCTTGGAGCGATACATGCAAACAGTCTGGATTGTCTTAAGCGTGGTGTAGGCACTGCTAAACGACAATCCATTGATGACCGGAGTGATCGAGTTGTGACATAAGCCTTTGCAAGAGGATTCAAGTAGATGGGAGCCATACCCTTAAGCTTTGTAGGCTAGCATCAGGGACTTGAATTTGATACGGGCAGCCAGTGGAGTTCAATGAACAGGGGGGTGACGTGAGATTTTTTGGGCTGATTGAAGACCAGACGCGCCGCCGCGTTCTGGATCATTTGAAAGTCTTTGATGTCAACAGCTAGTGGGCTATTTTTCTATGACATTTGAGCACAATCCTACATCGTCAATACTTCTCAGAATACGTTCACAATCTCCTTGTTTCTCAATTTGGTCCTGTTTTTTTTATCTGGCATTTACAGTAATGCAAGGACTTTCTTGAGTAGACGTGTTTTCAATTCAAATATATATGAATAGTTTACTCTGGGTAAAATAGCATATTCATTAAGTGATATTTGTTACTCTTACCCAGTGCTATCTTCATTTCAGAGTATGTTTGGTTGAAATGTGCCTTTTGGTTTTCTGAGATGTTGAATTTTGTCATTAGGTTCTATGTGACTAGAACTGCTGCACATGAATGGCAGTAGTACTGCGTGATTAGTCTAATATGTGCTATGAAAGTGTCCCCATATAATTGAACTACCAGTAAAACTAACTTGACTCAGTTGATGCATGTATTGGCTCTTTAAATTTGTTCTGTTTTTGCCAAAAGATTTATGCCAAATCCTTTAATTTATTAAGCTTGCCACTTTGTCTGCATTTGCATACAAACGTACTTGGGAATGTCATTACTCAGTTCCCCACGTACTAATTTAGAGCATTTTAGTTTATTGTCGAAAGATCCTTCATTCCACTTTAGTTTTTTAAATGTATTTTATTGATGAACTTATGAATTACAAATTTATGTTTTTTGTCATTGCAACTGAATAAGAGGAGTAGACGGCAGTGCCCACTTATGCTCAAAATTTACCGCACCTAACATGTTCAACTTCATTACAAGCAGCCAGACTTTAAAACATTTTTTTTAATGTTCTTTGGTTGAAAAATTGACCTTGCAGAGACGTTTCGTTCATCATTTATAATTTGATCAATCACTACTGCCCTTTTGCGGTGTTATCATGAAATGAGTGGCTCCCAATTTACAAATTACTGTGTGTTAAGAATCTTTTGTCTTATGTTCCTCAGAGCTTCCAGAGAGAAGTCCGTTAAAACCATTCAAGATGAGATCCGCTCTGTCATCAGACAAATAACAGCTACAGTTACTTTCCTGCCACTCCTAGAGACACCTTGTTAGTAACTTCTCTCACTATTTTATGAATAAACATGCAATACAATACAGCTTATTTAGGCTCTGGATTGATTGTTAAATACTCAATTCTAACTTTTCCGTCACTGCAGGTGCATTTGACCTGCTGGTCTACACAGACAAGGACCTGGTTGTTCCGGAGAAGTGGGAAGAGTCTGGGCCGCAGATCATTGACCAGTCAGAGGAGGTGCGTTTACGTTCCTTCACCACCTCCATCCACAAAGTGAACAGCATGGTGGCATACAAGAGGACTGACTCGGTTTAAACCTCAAACCCTATTACCAACCACTGCCGATTATAGAGTCCAGTGAATCTTAGCATCCTGTCCTTCCTCATTTCCTGCACACAAGGGAACGGCTTTCTTTTCTTAATCTTCTCATCTCATTTGGCAGAGAATGATGTAAAGAATTCTCTATCTGCATTGATGTAAATATTTGTAAGCTTATATTTCTACTTTGTCAGAAGCTGTCTTTTCTTTATAGTTCTGGTTTCTGAGGTTGCTAATCTTTTAGAATATGCTTCTTTATAGTCCAGCTTTTAATAATTGTTCGAAATAAATCTATGGTACTTTTCACCAATAGAATTTTCTTGTATTTTTGTGATATATATTTTTTTCTTTTTATTGGAATGTGCCAGTACATACAACATATATAGACTGAAATGCTGTTCACCCGGCCCATAATGGAACACTTTTGCAGCCCAAAAAATTATTTTCTCAGGCGAAGTTCTTACTTTGCTCAGTGTTCAATCGTGTTAAAAGATGGAGGTCAGAAAAATTTATTTGACAACACTATATTAGGACTATACAGGAACTTTATGATGGTCTTACATGAAAATTAGAAAATTCTGACCTTTCAGGTGTAAGGTTTCATGATGTAAAAGAAGGTAAAACAAAGTTGTTGTTTTTTCAGACGTGCACATTTAAATCATTCTGCAATAAAAGCTATATACAGATTTGTTCATTAGAGAGTCACTTCATTTTAGGTCATGACCTAATTTTTAACTGCATTTGATAGTAACAGGTTAAGGATTAGTAACTTTTCAGTAACATTTGATCCAGCTCCAGACTAGGATGAGCTGGAGAGACCCATCAGAATAAGCAGAAGAAGACACATGGATGCAAATTTCCCCCTTCCAAAGAAACAAAAACTTCAATTGTTTTTTATGCAAGGGAAACTTTGTAATCTGCATCCATATTCTTGCAAATTATATAAATAAGATGACATTTCTAATGGCATCTTATTATAGGTTTGGAGAAGATTATAGTTAATCTTTTATTGATACATCATCAAACTAATCAGTTACATTATGTTGAGTCAAACAGCCCACAATTCCATTGTGCAAAACTGCCTTTATATGTAGAAAAGGTATTATATCATATATTTATATGTAGAAAAGGTATTATAAAGAGAAATAAGTTGTTTTTCATTTTAATAGTAAATAAGTAATACTTTTTACAGCATGGCTTTTAACACATTTCCCAAAAAGAGTTTAATATTGAATATATTTTTGAGTACCAGCTGACAATTAGCAAAAAGCAGGGTACATGCTTGGCAGTCATCAAGTGGACAATAAATTTAAACCGTACAGTGTGATTCTAATGAGACTCTGGCTTTGGTGTCTGAAGCATTGAATGAATTAATCAATGATGTTTGTGATGCTGCCGTCCAGGGTGACCCAGCTTCTCCCCATTGGCTACTGGGATAGGCCCCAGTCCCCCCGCAACCCCATTAGGGGATCAGCGGTTACCATAATGGACGGATGTATGTTTGTGATGCTTATACATAAATGATAAACTTTTATATGGTGTCCGTCTTTATGATACTATGACAGGGAGGCTTGAATAGATCGCTAACAAACTTGTAATTAAGTCCCAAGTCCACAAAATGTGAGGGGGGATTCATTGCATTTAGTTCGCCCTTATATTTCAAATAGACCGCCAAACTGCTAACCACTTCCTGAATCAGTCACGTGATGTGGCCGGTTTGCAAGGCTTCAGACGTCACCATATACGTCATCGACACGAGCCTCGATATTCGCTTCACAAACATCTTTATTTATCGACACGCGCGGTGAAGCCTCGATACGGAGGGACGTATCGCTACATATCATTAGTGGAGACTAATGTTTGTTTAATTTCAGTTTGCCTGTGCTTATCTTATGCTTTCAATTACGTTTCCACTGGTCAGTCGTAGTTGTCCAAACTTCACTTTGTCAATTAGGGTTTTAGTTAATAGTTTGTGGGTTGTTTTGTATTAAAGGTTTGGTTTGATTTTTGTTACTAACTTTGGGTTTTTTTCCCCACCCACCAACGTCTGAAACTTTAGTTTGAACAGTGTTTTTTCTTTTGGACAGGGGCTTTTATTCTTTTTGGACATATATTGAACGGTTTTAGACTATATGTACAATAAACTTCGTTCTTACCCTAAGTTCCTCATCGGTTCCTTTAGTTGCCAGGCGTACTTCTGGGTCTAACAGGGAACTCCATTTATATGGTGTTGGCTCTGGGTTTTGTTTTTCTTTCTTATCTTGGACTATAGGACACTTGGTCACATGTGTATAGTCTTAAAAGAATCTATGAAGATTCTATGGTAAGTGTGACACTATGTAAAATAAGCACAACTCCTGGAAGGATACTCATTTCTGAGAAACTGTGAAAGCCACAATGTTCAAGAGGAAAGTCCCTGCAAAAACAAAATCTAATAATTGTAGCTCACAGAACATTTGTAAGCGAAAAAAGCGAAACGCACCTTAAAAACTAAGTGAGCATGAATTTGGAATCTAAAATTTTATACTATAGGAAAAATATATTTACTCCTTGTTTGGCATAGTTGGCTCAAATGAGTTAACAGGAAATGTATCCAGAAGCTATTTGAGTGTTAGTGTTAGTATTAGTATTAGTATTAGTGCTTTTCTTGTGTTATTGGCAACACTAATGACATCTTCTGGAAGTGCAAAAAATTTACCTCAAAGTATGAGTGCTCTTTTGACCAGCTATCCAACGGTGAACAGATTAACTGACCATTGGGTGCTTAATTTGAATCCGTGATGGTGGGCAATGTATTACAATATGGGGAAGGGTATATAGTCAAATCTGCCAGCAATTGTTTATTGTCACTCCCAAAAGGAGGTATATATTCATTCTCCCAAAAGGTACAACCCCTCTAATTTTTGTGGCCGAAATAAGTTATTTTCCCGGTACCATGATGGTTACTCCTGATGTTAATTGTTTTTAAAAATCTATTCGTTTTGAGTAATCAAAATGGTTATCTTTAGTAGTTCCACATTAATGTGCAAAAAAGAATAGCTTGCTGAAAGTAAAACAATATATACAATTCTCAAAGCCACAAAAACATGCCTGCCTTTCCACGATATGATTACTTGATTTTTATCTATGTTGATAGATATAATAGAATTACATTAAAAGGTGGATACAGAAAAAATATTGTATCTGTTGTGTTGTTCATGACATGAGTCTCACAGTTTGGCAGTCTATTGAAATGACTACTGCAGGTAATTAAAGTCCCCCCTCTATTTAATTGACATAACAAAATGATGTCAAAAGGGAGACTTTTTTAAAATTGGCCTCTGATAACTTACTGATGGTTTTCACTTTAGAATTATACTCTTGCACTGAAATCAAACGCTTTACTAAAAAGTGTGACACCTGTGTTTGTATTCCACATCCAGACACTCTCATTCGCACAACATAAAAGTATGACCGCAAACTAAATTTTTGTTTGTTTTGTAAATCTTGTCCTTAATCCCCAAGGCTGCCTTTGATGGCTAAACTTATTGCTACAATGAAATCTGAAGCAAAACCTAGTACCTGGTATGGGAAAATAAGACAAGCTAAACACTTGGCAGATAAGACCTCATAAAAAATTGGTGTGATACACATCAGTGTACCTGAAAATTAAAAAATGTTTAACAAAACTTTAAAAAATCTAATAAAAAGGTTAAAAAAAATAATTAAAACATGTCAACTGTGTTATTGTATCACCACTGTCAAGGCACTTTATGGCAAGAAGAATTCCTTTAATCAGAAATATATATACAGAATTCAACTGAAATAATGCTGACAAGGAGTCTGCATTTTTTTTTCCATGTCTGTGATATCAGAGAGAAATTGTAAACTAAAGGTTTCACCAGACCACTAAATGGAGGGTCAGCCACCATCACCACCTTTTCTTCTAGCTCCATAAGGAAGGTATTCAGGATAGCACTGGAGGTCTGGTGTGAATTAAAGCTATATCATTATCAATTATTAACGTATGCTGACTGGAAAATAACTCTTTGGTTGTACTGCAGGTTCCTCCTCACTTCCTAGTTGCATAACAGACATCTTCAAGGACAACACACACATGTATTATCACATTTCAGTGGAATCTGCATGAATAAGCCTGCCTGTTCATGTAATTGGTAAGTGGCCATCGAGACACAGGTTTCTTTATGCACAGACTTTCGATTGTACAGGACCGGCTCAACTCAAGCCTAGTACTACATTACTTTCATTGATACCAGAATAAATTACGCATTTTTAGTTTCTCTGTTTTCCAAGGCTTCCAGCTAGAATAATTAGGCTAACAGATGGGAGAGTTGAGCAAAGTCCCTGCTGCCACAGCTAGACTGGTTAAAATCTTTTTAGTTTTAAAATAATAAAAAAAGGAACATTCTGCCTGAGTGAAAAAACAGAGAAAGAATAGATAATCCTATGTAGAAACAAAGTTCAAACAATTTTAATTTTAAACAATTGTATTTATTTAGAGATTTCATTCATGTTAAGCATTACATTAATTGTTTCCAATCTGTAAAAGTACATGACCATGAAACTGTACTTGACAGACCATGTTCCACCATTATAAAAATTTCACATGCAAACCACCTCTCAATGAATGTTAGCAATGAAACAGAATCACCCAATGCTCAAGTTAAAACTTATGAAACGGGTGCAAACAAATACTTTAGATTTTATTTGAAATTTTCCTCAAGAATGTGAAACACTCTTAATCATTTAAGTTTAAATAGAAAAATACACTTCCCTATTGCACAGATGCAAAGACATTACATGACTCCTGAGGTTATACCGTATGAGCACTGCGATTAGCCCTAGACTTCCTTCGGACTTTAAGATTGAAGACGGGACGTCCGGAATTTTTCTTCGAATCCACTCTTGACTTTTTTCCAATAACTGAAGAAGTAAAACACAAGCTATTAAAGATGTGGAATATTTAAAATATTTAAACTTTGAATTAGAAAAGAGGCTTAAAATCCCAAGAGGGCAAGCTCACCCGTTGATCCTTTGTGTAACTTATAAGGGCATTCTTTATGTTTGTGCTGCAAGCTGCTGCAATTAAAGCAGCCATCTTTTCCTTGACTGAATCCACACAGGTGATCTGGTAGGGCGCAGCGGCCACAGTTGGGACAGTGTTTCCAAGCTTATAAAAAAAAAGAAATTCAAAGTTATGCTCACATTAATGAAGGGCAAATTCCTAGTTCACTTTACTTATGTTACTGGTGGGACAAATTTACTTACACGGTTTCACACATTTTTCACATGTTGAGCAATGCTTCCATTCCCGGCCATCCTGTAGAATACCTGAAATGTTAAGGGACGGCCTAATTCAAATTTCACACTCAAATGGAAAACAGTTTTATACCTTGGATGGACATCGGTTGCACTTGGCGCAGTGTCTGTTCAGGGACGACACATATCTCTCACAAACAGAGCAAAACCTAGAGAATTAAAGAGAACGTAAGTGAGAATTGAAAAAAAAAACCCTTATTTACTTTGTACCCTAAGGAAACGTAACAATATTCCAGGAGACGATCAAACATATTTGATGGGTGTTTAAAGTGAAGCCTTAAAGCTGCCGTCAAAAGCAAAATGATGTTATTGGAATTTCTGTTACAGGGTTAAAATGTACATCTGCAGTAAATAATGATGTTCAGCTGGTGAACGGGTTGGTACCTGTAGCCTTCGTCCTCGGGCAATACAATCCTTTTAGGTGAAATATTTGTGAAGAGTCTGACAGGAGACTGCCTCCTGCCTGTCTTCCCATGTTTATACAACGGATGGTTGTCATAGTCCACCTTGTCAAACAAAAAGCAAAGCTGTTACTCGATTAAACATTCGTTATCCATTACAACATTTCACACGTCCACAAAAGGTCAATAAAAATACCCTGAACAGTTACTGAGTTAACATACAGCTAATTTCAACTTGCATGGGAGCAGAATAGTAGGGCGGAGGTATGTCTGGTGCTGTGATGCAGTGAACTATTAAGTGCGGAATAGATTCCAAAGATTTGCATTTCTCATGGCATACATTAAAATATAGGGAAAACAAAAAAAAATTCATATGAATTATTTACTGAAATTTTCACCATGGATTTGACTGGCGGTTGTGCCATTATTACCACAAAAATATTTTCTACTTAACATCGTTAGAATAATTACTGAGATTAAGATACACTGGTATTGTTTTTGAGAGTCTGGTTTGAAAGGGTGAAGGGTTGCAGTCTGAGCTGGGGCCTTTCTAAGCGATGTGTTTTTGTGCACTTCCAATGTATACCTACGTCTCCCCAGGTTCTCAGGCTTACTCCCAACTCAATTTAAGTGAATTGCAGATCTTTATTAACATTTTCTGCAGCAGGACAGCTATTTAGTCACTGTTCGATAAACCTGAGGGATTGCTTTAAAGTTGATATTTGGTTACATGTCTATTTAAATGACATTTTCTCATCTGTGCATGCTTTCTAAATGTACTTTATAAAAGAGTAAGCCTGGCAATGTTATGAAAGTGAAAGGTTAATTATAAAAGTTAAACTGATTAAATCTTTTCTTTATCAGAGCGAAAAGGTTAATCGCAGACATTCAATATTCTATAAGATAGCTACACTGGGAGATTTAGTTAAATTGAAAGGTCCTGACTACCAACAGGTCTAAAATGTTCATGCTAATTTTCACTGCTCCTGGTTGAATGATCTTTACTTAAAAGTGTTTGTATTCCACATCCAGACACAACAGAAAAGTATGCTATTTTTTTGTTTGTTTTGTAAATTTGGGCCTTTTTCCCTCTGGGATTATTAAAGTGATCCTGATAATCCCCAAGGCTGCCTTGGATGGCTAAATTTAATTCTACAATGAAATCTGAAGCAAAACCTGGTACCTGGTAATCCAACATAATGAATGAGGGAAGACACTCCAATATACGAGACTCAAAGAAGTATGGGAAGATCCAGATCATGGGCATGTCAACATTATTGTTGTCTGAACACATAAAAAGACAAGTTAGACACTTGGCAGATAAGACCTCATGAAAAATGTGTGTGATATACAAATCAGTGTACCTAAAAATGAAAAAATGTTTAACAAAACTTTAAAAAATATACTAAAAAGGTAACAAATTAATTAAAACATGTCAACTGTCTTATTGCATCACCATTGTCAAGGCACTTTATGGCAAGAAGAATTCCTTTAAATCAGAAATATACATGCAGAATTGAACTGAAATAGTGCTGACCTGGATTCTGCAGTTTCTTCCATGTCTGTGATATCAGAGAGAAATTGTAGGCTAAAGGTTTCACCAGACCACCAAATGGAGGGTCAGCCACCATCACCACCTTCTCCTCTTCTTGCTCCGTAAGGAAGGTATTCAGGATAGCACTGGAGGTCTGGCGTGAATCAAATCTACATCATTATCAATTATCAAACTAACGTATGCTGACTGGAAAATAACTCATACCTCTCCCTCAAAGAAGTGATGGTTGAACATGTTGTAGTGACAGAACTCATCCTGACTGTAAAACTGGGCATATCTGAAACATAGTGATATATTTATTTATGTATATATATACAGGGCTGTCTCAGAAAATTAGAATATTGTGATAAAGTTCTTCATTTTCTGCAATGCAATTACAAAACATGGATTCATTACAAATCAACTGAAATATCGCAAGCCTTTTATCGTTTTAATATCGCTGATTATGGCTCACAGCTTAAGAAACCCAAATATCCCATCTCAAAATATTAGAATATCGGGTTTTTGAGGTTTCTTCAGCTGTACGCCATCATCAGCAATATTAAAACAATAAAAGGCTTGCGATATTTCAGTTGATTTGTAATGAATCCAGAATGTATGACATTTCATGATTTTTAATTGCATTACAGAAAATAAAGAACTTTATCACAATATTCTAATTTTCTGAGACAGTCTTGTATATATATATATATATAAATACATTTTTTTTAAACTTATCATATAAACCTATATTACACAGCCCCTCCAGCACATTAAAAATCACATAATTTGCAAAAAGTTATGTACAGAAACTGTACAGAGAGCTCAGGTAAGACCTGCTTAAATGATTAGTTAATAATGTTAAAATATATGCCATATCCTGCTCACAATACAGGTGAAATGTCTTCGGTAGACCAGATTTTGATCAATCGAAGGCATGAAACGACTGATTTCAGAGAGGTTTTGGAAGCTGAGGAATAATTTGTCAAACATAATGAAAGTAAAACCACTAATGATGTTTTGACATTTCAAATTGAGAAAATATTCTTAGCGATGTTTTCAATGCGTTTAGGCCACTGCACAGAAACGGGTGGAAATCGTGTCGTTTTTTTGGTGTTTGTGCACAGCAAACAGCTGTTCAGTCAGTGCAAAGTCAGCTTTGACCACCCACTGAACGCATTTCTAAAGTACTGCAGGAATGGGTACATTTCCCTCCTTTCGATTCCAACAAAGACACTCTTATTCAATATTTTCCCTGTACCCCAAAACTAAAGTGGAGACTGCTGACAACGTACAACCCTCTAAGATGAAAACTGATAATTAGGGAAATAACACCTATATTCACAGATCCTCACACGAAAAGTATAACTGCACTGATCCAGGCTCCTGACAATATATACAATCAATTCTAATGATAATTTATAGTGTAAGGTGGACACTGTACATAGCTGGTCCCCCTAAGAAGCAGCAATCTAGTTGAACAGGAGACCAAGAACAGGACCAAAATCTGAGACCAAAACTATTTTTGAGTTGTTTTGAGCTACTCTGACAGACACTGGATATGTTTAATCTTATGTTTAATATTTTTTAAATATTTTGCTTGCATTAGGAGCTAAAAGTTAACCAAAAGGAGAACAAGAAGTCTCACAGCAGAGTGCCAGACCCTGACAAAATTCCATTTAAAAAACATATTAGTCGGTTTGAATCAAAATAAATAAAGAGAAGACAGAGGGACAACCTTTATGCAAGGCATGCTTGCATGTTTTGACAGACTTTTAAGATTTAAGTTAAATTCCTAATGCGGAAAAAGACATTTACCTGAAATCAATGTCCAGCAGCAAAGTCTTCATTTGCTGATACTTCTGCTCCATGTTCCGCAGCTTGATCAGTTCCTGTAGTCTAATGCAACCAGCAACAATCATTACTGATGACACATGAATGCAAAAACATTCTTGAGTGAAATCTTAAATGAGCATTTACCCAATTACTTAGTTTTGCTTGTACCTTATGAGGTAAAGGCGCAAAATGATAATCAAAATTGTTCTCCTGTTTGCTCTGAGCCTGACTTTTGTAAAAAAATAAAAATAAATAAATAAATTTAAAAAAAAGAAGAAAAAAGATGCTGGAGGGCAATTTCCCCTGGATCATCATCTAGTCTTAACATAACATAGCTATTAATAACCATATCTGACAGCAGCATTTTAAAAATGTTATTCTTATAAGTTTCAGATGTAAAACAACACTTTATTAAAAAATATAATAATTGATAAAGCCCACCCAAAAAATCCATAAGTAAAAAACAATTTTGATAAACATAACTGGAACCCTGTTAACATAACTTAATTGCTTGTAATTTAGAGAAAGAAAATAGGACATGGCATTACAATGGGATCAAACCACCACACTTGTTGGGAACTCATCGCTAGCATGTCTCACCTTGGTGTGCCAACACAAAGCACTTTGTTGAAGCCCAGATCAGCTAAAGTATCCAGTAGGAAGCTCGCGCTGCGATGAGTGAACAGGTATTGGGCGTTTCCCTTCTTGTTACTGAGTGGCTGCAGCAGGATGCTGGGTCGCCAAAGCTGAGCGGTGGTGATTACCGTGGTTTTATGAGCAGAGTGAACGCTGTGCTCTGTTGGTAGGAGCAGAATCTGACAATCCTGACAGAATTTCTTCTTGTTATCCGGGAGGCTGGTAAATTCCTGAAATCTGAAAAACACAGTAAACGACACACAAACAATTCTTACTAGGACCATCACAAAACATTGCTGTAGAGTAAGTAGAGATAGTGACAGTCTCTAACCTCTTACACTGTTCCTGGTGTTTGAATGGAAGCAGCTTGGATTGGTTTTCTGCTTCTCTGGCCAGCAGAGTAGCCTTTGACACCTTACAAATAAACATTATACATCAAATATACATTAAAACAATTGTTACTTCCATGATATTAGAAGTAAAAGGATTGAAATGATAAAAACACATACAAGGAACTGACCTTTTCATCTTCCCACTGGAAAAAACTGCAGTCTTTTCTGTCTCGACAGGCCGAGCATGCATAAAATCTCCGTCCTTTTTCACCTCGTTTGCTTACTTTCTCGAATAGTAAAGTTGGGCCTGGCAAAAGACAGCAATAGATGTTACCCTCAACTACAGTGAATGAGTACAATTGCTCGGGGTGAATCCAATAAACTGTGAAGTTCTGGCGAAATAAAGCCGACCGTGTACGTGTTTAACTTATCAGCCATGTTTTGAATACAGAGTGGTATCATGTTCTGTTATGTTTTGTGGGTTCTTATAAATAAAATTGTATTTTGAATACAGATGTGTAAAAAAAAAAAAAAATTAATAAAAAAAGCAGAAACAATGGTTTACAGTGTAAATTAAGACTCAGTGTTGTGTAAGAGTCACCTATGTGTTAAAAACGAATTGTTCCTGTTGAGAAAGGGGGATGTAGTGGTATCAAGGTAGGAACCAATGTGTTGACATGTTCCCAGGGGGAAGAATAAAGATTAGTTCGGTCCCTGCTTGAACACGGCTATGCTCGTCTCTATAAGAACCCACAAAACCTAACAGAACACGATCACACGACATTACTTCCTAAGAAATTAAATGACCTGTTAAACTTGAGGTACATACATTTTTACGAAAGCCCGAATAATGTTAAAACCATAGGCTTACAGTTTGGCGTTAGTGGACTATTACCGCGAAACTGTGGTCAGGCTTACC